TAAAAATGGTGTTTCTTTTTCTCAAGAAAGTTTAGACGAGTTTCAAACTAAAACAAATGTATCTTTAAATCATATGAAAAAATTAACTAGTATGTTAAGGTCGAAATCTGGGAGGCAATCTGTCTCAAGTCGTTACATCAAACATGCATCGGAAAATACAAATCAATTAGATTACCTTTACGACATTGCATTTTTTAATTTTGATGTTTCTGATAATAGTAACAAAGAAAGAAGGCCTGTTATCTGGACAAACGCAGAAAAAATGGTTAAGAAAGTTATGAAGAAACGAGAAATTATTGGTTATCCTTGTTTTAAAGTTATGGCAGATGGAGGTTAAAAATTCTTTAAAATTTGTTTGTCAATTTTTCCTCAAAATGATGATGACGGTGCACCACCCAGTAAAAAAGTAAAACTTGACACTAAAGAGCATTCAAGTTGCAAGTTCAAGTTGACAAGTGTAAAAAAATTGATTATATTGTGCATCGTTCCCGATATAAAAGAAACTTACGAGAACGTGAAAATATTGTTTGATCTGATTAAAAGCAACGACATTTCTTTTAAGTTTGTTGCTGACTTTAAATTGACACTAATTGTAAATGGAATGCAGACTGCTACTGCAACTAGCCCCTGTCCGTTTTGCTTTATACAACTAAATGATCTAAAATGTCGCAAAGAATTAATGGATGATGAATCTGAAAATTTTAAATTGAAAACTTACGGTGACTTAAAACAAGATTATGAACTATTTAAAAACTGTTTAGGAAGTAATAAAAAACTGGCCAAAAAATGTAATAGTACTGTGAATAATCCTTTGTTTGAAGAGAGTGATGAAATTTATGTGTTAGAAAAATGTATTCTTCCAGAGTTACACCTTTTACAAGGTTTTGTTAACCACATATTTTGGAATGGATTGGTGCCTCTTCTAGGAAAAGAAAAAGCTTTGATCTGGCCAATGAAATTAAATCTCATCTCAAAAAATTACCATGGAGATGTCTTTGAGGGTAATGCTTGCCGTAAAATGTTAAAACGATCGGATGAACTTTTTGATCGTGAAATTTGCGGTGATGTTGGTAAACTGAAACTTGTGCCGTTTGTTACATCATTAAAGGCTATGAATAAAATAGTTGAAAGTTGCTTTTCAGTCAAGAGGAGTAATGTCAAGTTTCAAGAAAATTTACGATTACAGATTAGAGAACTGCAAAAATCTTTTTTAGCGACGGAAATATCAGAAACATTGAAAATTCACGTGCTCGCAGCACATCTTGAATAGTGTTTCGCGTTCTTAGATTCTAATAGCGGCCTAGGATTGTGGTCAGAGCAAGCAGGTGAATCGAACCATAGGGAATTTCTCAAGTATTGGAACAAGTATAAAATTAATAATGTGCATAGTACTTTATATATTAATAGATTGAAAAAAGCAGTAGTTGAATTTTCTTCTAGACATTTGTAAATAATTAGAGACCTGCTGATTCATGAGACGTTTTTGTTGTACAAAAATTTGCAATTTATTTTTAATATGTTAATTTTTTGTTGTGATATCATATTCATGAAAAATATGTGTTTCTATTAATATATTTATACTCGTTTGTTATATAAATGCCTTTATTAATAAAATAATTACTTTGAAATTAAAAAAAAAATTTTTTCATTACCACTACATACTTTATTTGTTGCTTATTTGAGATTCAGTATTAAAAGTAATATAGAAAAAGAAAAACATATAATTGGAAATAAAAACATGAGCCCATTGCTATTTAATTGGAAAAAAAAAAATTTTCTTAGTACATTACCGAAATAACTTGTAGACAATCAGCTAAGATTCTGATTCCAGGTTTTTTTAACATGTAATTATATTTTGAAAGAAACTACTAATTCATTTTTCGTCGGCATGGCAGCGAAACTTCTTTTTCATTCCCTCCCACCGTGACTAAACGACAAATACATTCCAAAAAATAACCAAGTAAAATACTTAGGTATTCACCTAGACCGAAAACTTACTTGGAAAGAACATATCTTCACTAAACGCAAGCAATTGAGTCTGAAATGAAGGAGAATGTACTGGCTCATGAGACGAAAATCGGAGCTATCAATCGAAAAGTATTCTATTAAACATCATGTATATTTTTTTGCTAAACTGTAATCAAATTTACTTATAGCCTCAATATGCGAGGCAGGTTGTAAATAAACATGAATATAATTAAAAAAACTTCATTGACTAAACACTTATTAACAATTATTACCCCTCTAATATTTCATACTCGATGTATATAACTTATATAAATGATATGCAATTATTTCAAATATAGTATTAAATCATTTCATTTATTACATAATAATAAAAGGATAAAGGGTAGAGCTACTAATACTCCTCTGCTCACAGTCTAGTAGAGACTATCCCTTCCCCCTCACCTACCTTATTTCAGCCCACTGAAACTTAGTGATACATATTAATCCACATTTAATTTATAAGAGTATATTATATGGGAGAGAGAGATATAACGAGCAGCAGTCGCACTCGTTATAAACTTCCAACGTAGGTATTTAACGTGTACAAATGAGTCAGTCAAATTTTGGAGACTCGGGGTTATTGCTAAGCTAAAATACTTTAATAAATATTTTTCACGATTTCACATACACTCTTATGGAAAAGTACTTTTTTCTTGTGATCAATTACTTATAACAGAATAATTGACAGTTAGATATTACTGAAACATTTTTTTTAAACTTGAAAAATATCTGACATATATTTTTAGTATTTAATATTGTTCGAAAGTTGCTTGTTAATTAAGGAATAAATAAATAAACCTACAAAAATAGTAATATTTAGAGTCTACGTGGTAGACATGGCAACACTGCACTGGCCGTATATGTTTACAGGTTATAAACTTCCCATTTAAAAACTGGCGCACATGCTTGACCAATGGAATGCTCAATTTTGAACGTAATACATCTATTCAAAAAATGGATTTCATGTATAATGGCAAGTAATAATAATATTAAATCAATATGGGTTTCAGTCGAAATGAATGTAAATAATTAGTACAGTTTAATATCATAGTAAGTCGTATACACGCTGACTGGAGGTGTGTGCATATGTCCATGTACACTCACACCAAAACAGATATCGCGGTGTTGCCACATCAGGCATCTCAGAAGTCAAGTGCAAGACAGTTTTTGTTTTGACTACCGTATTACCACTATAACTCTCTTAATAAATTTTCAAATTTTTTGCAACTCAGGGACCCGTAAATGGGGAAAAGGGAATGAAATGGAAATTTCAAGATTTATAAATTCTTGTATCTTATAAATTTGACATAAAAAATTTAGATTAAGATACAAAGTAAATGCTATGAAAAACACATTTTATTTAACAAAAAATTTAATTCAAATTCAGATTTACGAGGGGAACGGAATAATAGAGAATTTAGTACATTATGAAATATTGCATCTTGTCCTCTTCTACTGAATTTCAAATATGCGGCAAGTTTAACTTCAATAGTTTTAACAAAAGTTTTCGTAAGGCAATGTAACGCTAATAAGAGATTGAGTTTAAAAGTACGTGAGTTGAAAGTTTGAATCCATCAAGTGCCGCGGTTGTGATTTTGCGGCATGAATGCAGGAGGCACAACCTGCGCGATACATATAATGCACAATGACTTTCTGTGTTAAAGATTTTCAAATTAGTTATATTTTATAAATGTTTATAATTTACTTTAATGATTTTATACATAAAATCTAAAAAAGTTCTATTTTTTTAAATTTAATTTCCTTTATTGTAATGACGAATCTCTATAAAGGCTGAAAATTTATTTTCTCTAACAATTTTTGACAGATGAAAGTACAAACTTTTATCTTTTTTTACATTGTAAAGTGAGAAGTATGCGGAAAACGGAAACGAATTATCAGAATATTAAATTTGAAAAATGTTCATGAGGTTTTTTCAACAAGGTAAAAAAATACTGTTCACATGCAACAAATAACCATAGCTGACTTTGAAATAAGTGAAATCCCCATTAAAAACAATTTTGACAAAGTAAAAAGTTACATGAAAGTTTCACTAAGTCTCAGTTCTTTTTTAACTGTTTTATTTTCTGCCAGATAAATCTCAAACAAACATTTAAGAAATTTCCAATTTTGAAATCATCAATCTAATTATTTACTTAAAATTATTTGTAAAGTTTGAAAAGTAATGAAATTTATTTAAAAATAACTTATTAAAATAATTATATATAAGTAAAAACAAACTATCTTAACTTCATCATTTATTTATCAAAGAAATTACTTATGAAATCTTTGAAAAATGATTACTTATACCTAAAGTATTAAATATTAGTCAATCACATTTTACCAATGTTACTGATTTCTCTATTTTACAGTGTAACTAGTAGTGGAGTCCTTAACAATCATATTAAATGGATATTTAAAAAATTTGCTTGTGAATTTACTTTGAAATAAAAAAAATTATATCAATTAATTTTTTGTTTTTTGAGACAACTTGCATATAATTGTAAAATTGATTCAAACAAATTAAACGAATAAACACAAAGCTTATTTTTAAGCACTTATGCAATAAAGCTAACAATCAAACTATTACTTGTGTGGAACAAATATCTAAGAATCCATCTTATTTTTTATATCTAACCTAGTCATATCAAAATGAAACTGATCATTTAAAACTTTTAAGGAAATGAAGAACAATATAAATATATGTACTGTTAATTGAAACAGTCAAATCATATCCATTCAAATATTTTTTTAAGCATTAAATATCTTTTGGTTTTTGTATTCTTAGTATCTATTTTATTATTCTATAAATTTTTCTTATTTTTTTTACAATAATAAAATAAAATAATATTTTCAGTACTCTATATTTTTATTTGTTGAAACAAATAGAGAATATTCGTTATGAAAATGCTTTCAAATAAATGGTATAATGATATAATAGCTGTAATATCATTAGATCTATATCTACAATGATAGCAGTTACAAATTCAACTTACTGTTTTAAGTCGTTTGTTTAACCAATAATCAAATACTGCAATAATGAGATCATCATCTTCTTTAAGAAGCATTTTAGCCTCATTTAAAGTAACAACAGTTTGGCCTGAACTTTTTTCTAGGCGATCCATCATTTCTTCAAATTGCAATGGGGTTAAATCCATTTTACGACTTTGAAGCCCAACCCATTTTTCATCTTCTGAATCCATGTCATAATCTGGAATATCTTGCTCCATTGCAAAAGCTGAAAAGATAAATAAAAGATCAATTGTTAAGCAAAAATTTGAAATTGTTTATACATACGTTGCATGTGAATCAACTGTCTAGGTAATTTATAATCCGCTGGATAAATTTTTTCATAAGCTTCTACATCTGTAAGGTGAGTTACTTCTGGGGTAGGAATAATCAAACCAGTACATATTGCCCTTTGAAGATGATGTTCCTATTAAACAATAATATTACAAATATCTTTATCCAAGTACTTGCAATAAAGTGTTAGTTAATTTTAATAGATAAAGAATAATATTGATGTGATATGATAATCACATGCAGATTAATGTGTACAGCTAAAAATTAAAGTTGGCCACAAGTCTGCATAAGAAATATTTTTTTTGAAAAAAAGGTTGTAAATAATGTTGAAATTACTTTTGTAATAAGGTAAATTAAAATATGCCACCTGGTGATATGAATTTAGAATTGAAGCTAGCTAAGATGACGGTTATAAAAATCAAGAAACATAAACTAATTTGTTATTATTTGTTACTCACGCATTCTTCTTCCTTTTGCATCCCACTAGGCATAGGCGCAACAGCTCTACTAATGGCTGAATAGTCTGGTAAATCTGGGAGCTCCTCGGCCATATAAATGGGCATAGGTTTAGAGGCATCGAGGGCCCGTGCTCTGAATGAGAGCTTGCTCATGATGAATAGATAAGTTTGAAGTTAATAATACCGACGGTTCCTTACTATAAGTCGGCTTATTTTGTTGATTGATACTCGACAGATAAAGGACTAGGTTGACACTACGCTCTCTCGGCTACGCCTCAGCCAGCCAGATTGAGCGCTGTAGACTTAGATCAGGACCTCATGATTAGTTGGCGGTTACTTTTTAACTCAATTATTTAATTTACATACCACCTCCACATTTAAACAAATCATTTATAAAGCGAATTCGTAAGACACGAGCTCTACTAAGTAAAGCCATTATATTATGATGGCCGACACGATACTCATACTACACTATACCATAGAAATTATATAGAGGATACTACTGTATAATTTTCTCAACCTTCAAACCATGACTGATTTTTAGTTCTATTCGAGGTGAGCATGCAGAGGGAGGGGATAGAAGAGTCTATCCGAACGCATTAGGCGGCGAAAAAGAGAAGTATTGTCGGCAAATTCTTGTATCTAACGTATTGAATTTTCGAATTAAAATGGGACATTGGAGTTGTTGCGTAAACAAATGTAAGAATAATGATAAAAATAGTACGTGTAAATTTTATAGATTTCCGAAAGTAAAACATAAAATAACGCAAAAATTAAAATGGATTGCAAATGTAAGAAAAGTAAAGTAAGTAACCATAACTTCTAGTACTTAATGAAAATGAATCAGATTTGTTGATAATAACTGACACATCATTTACTTTTACCCTGCAGTCCAGATAATGCAGATGGATCACCTTGGTATTCTAAATCTTATGAATATATATGAGTGAGCATTTTATTGGTGAACAAAAGTCTGATAGTGTGTTGAATCCTAATTATATTCCGACAATATTTTCTTCTGACAATAAGGACAAATTAAAAAGAGAGTAAAACAAAATGGCAAGGTATATAATTAATTAATTAATTAATTAAATTAACAATATTTATAATAATTATTTATAACTTCTAGTCATGATTGTTTTACAAAGCGAAGGATTGAATAAAAATCAACAACTCATAAGCACATTAAAACCAATCGACCATAGTCGATACTAGAGTAACAGGTGATATTAAAATAGGAAAAGTTAACAACAAAGTAGTTACAAGTGATAAGGAATGTTGAGTGAATTTTGTTATTGACAATGTTGTAGGACAAATTTTACTTCTAATACTCATTGTAAATAGCGATGGTTTCCGCGATGTTAAATAGAGATCCAAATAGAGATTCAGGAATTTACTATTGTAAAAATACCTAATCAGATACAGTTCAAAAATAAAAAGTGCGGTACCATACTTAACTTTTGTAGATCAAGCAGCTGGGCCCAATGTCGAGCATGCGAAAAATAGAACATTTTTCTGGCTTTATAAGTCTGTCAAAACTGAGGAGCAACTTTTAGATTTAACTGGTGTAAATTTTAGTAATTTTCAACTTTTATTGACTAGATTGAAGAAATACAGTACATATTCAATTATCAAAGTTTCACTTGAAAACCAATTATTATTTTTAATGTAAAGTAATATTTTATAAACAAATAATAATGAAAATGAATATTTTTAATAAAACTTCGCTTGATTTTTGCTACAATTAGTGTATTGTTTTCTGTACACATAACATCTACTTCAAGAATTTTTTCTCAACATTGGAAATTTTAGCTGATGCTACAAAAAATTTTGTATTTTTGCCAGAAAAGCACGTAGTTCAATTAACTATGCAAGAATGTTTCAACCTAGATTATATAAATACGAGGGTTATTATAGATTGCGCAGAATTAAAAATTGAAATTCCTGTTAATGATGAAAATCAAGTCTACTGTTATTCTAATTATAAAAAAAAGTTTTACAGGTAAATTGTTTTTAGATATAACTCCAGTGGGTTTTATTTGTTTAAAGTCAACATTGGCCGGAGGACGAAAAAGTGACTCACAAATGACAATTGAATCCGGTTTGATAGATTTATTAAAAGATGGACATGTAGTTTTAACTGGCAAAGGGTTTCCAGAGATCAAACGAACAATAAACGAGAAGAGTAAAAAAGTAACATTAGTTTTGCCACCTTTTTTCGCAAACGAGTTTAAATTTTCAAAAGAAGAAATAGAAGAAACACACAAAATTGCAAGGGTTCGTGTATGTATCCACGTAGAAAGAATTATGTAACGACTACGAACGTATCAAATATTACATAAAATTTCTCAATATCTGTTCAGTTCAATTGATTATATTATTTATATATTTTGTGTTTTAGTAAATCTTCAACCACCGATTTTTGCAGAACAAACTACTGAATAGTATTAGTTTCAAAATTTTTATTCACATTTAATTATAATATAACATCATATATAACACTCATATTATATATATAGAATTTATTCAACTTAAATGTTACAATTTTGGTTTTTTACAAAGTATATTTCATTTTTATTGTGTGACGTGCCTTGTTTCTTTTTGCTTGTGTTTTGTGTGATTATGTTGTATATGTGTGTGATTGTGTTTTTGTTTGTGTTAGTGTATTTTGTATTTCCTTCTCATCTTCTTTTCCATTTGCCTTCCCTTTTTCGTCTTCTTCTCACTCTTTCATTCCATCTTCTATCCCATCCTCTCTCTTTCTCTCTCCCTCCTATACTTACCTCCCCTCTTTCTGTATGTCCTCCCATTTATAATCATCCTTCTGTTTTCTACCACGATGTCCATTACTACTCCTGCTTCCTGGCAAGCACTGAGGACCTTCTTTGCTGCCCTTACCATTTCGTCCCTCTCTTTTCTTTCTTCAAAGGACAGCCACTCGTCTAAGCTCATTTTTCCTTCTCTATATATTTCTCTTTCCAAGTCCCATATCTTGTCTCTGTCTTCTCTGCTATTAAACTCTACTTTCAGCCTTTCTCCCAATTCCTTTACGTGATTCACTTTCACTTTATGAACATTTTCAAACCATTCTTCTATTTTTACACCTTCTTCCCATTTTAATCCCTTTTTCACTACCAGTATTCTTTTTTCCACTCGTCCCATTCTTCTCCTGGTGATTCGTCACTCTCACTTTCCATTTTCCTTTTTTTTCTTTTGTATTTCTCTTTTTTTCTCTCTACTTCCTCTTCTGCTCCTTTCTCATCTCTTTCTTTTCTGCTTTCTTTTAGGTTTTCCTCAATTTTTCTTAGTCTTATTTCCTGGTTCCTAGCCTCTTTTTCCAACTCTTTTACCTTATTTTCCACATCCCTTCTTTTTTTTCTTTCTATTTCCATCCATTCTTCCAGGTTTTCTTTTTCTACTCTTCTGTCTCTTTCTATCTTCGTTATTTTCCTTTCAATTTCATCCATTTTCGTTAATCTTTTCTTTTACCTTCTTTACTCTATGAATTTTCTTTTAATTTCTTTCTTATCTAGCCGGTCTTCTCACCTTTCCGTATTAGGGCTTTTACACCTTTTCTGCGATATCCTCCGCTCCCTCTGCTTTCACTCATGCTTACTACAATTCTCTCTTACCAATTTCTTTCTTCTCTCTTTTCACTTTTCTTTTTCTTTCTCTTTTTCTTCTTCTTTTCTTCTTCTTTTCCACTTTAGTTCCATCATCCATGCTATTTTTTCTTTGCTCCCAACTATTATTTCTTCTCACTTTTCTCCTTCTTTTCTTGTCATTTCGCATTTTTCTACTATGTGTTTCCAATCTTCCTCTTCTTTTTGGCACATTCTACATTTCTTATTTTCTTCTTTTTCCCAGTATCTACTCCCTCTTGTCTCGTTCCCTAACCTAAACCTCTCTCTTATTTGTAGGCCTCTTATTTTCCCTTCATTTTGTATTTCTTTTAGTCTACACTTCTTCATTTCTTCCTTTATCCCCTTCCACTCTCTTATATATCTTGATTCTTCCAACTTATCTTCCATTTCTTTTTCTTCTTTTTTCCTCAATTCTTCTCTTACTTCTTCCCAGAACTCTTCTCTTTCATCGTCTCCTTCTTCTCTCTCTCTGTATTTTTTACTTTTCCCTAGTCTTTCTTCTCTCTCTCCTTTTTTTTCATTTCTTTCTTCTCTTTTCCTTTCGTTTCTCTTCATTTCTCTCCATGCTTCTTTCTTTATTGTTTCATCCCCCTCTTCTTTAATTTTATTTTCATATCTCATCGCTCTCTCCATTGCTTTTTCTTTTATTTCTTTTCTTCCTGTTTCCCATTTTATCAGATAACTCGGTGTGTTTCTGTCCAAACCCAGTACCCATTTTATATATTTCATTTGTAGTCTTTCTATTTCCTCGTATCTTTTCCACCCCCATATTTCTGCTCCATACATTATCACGCTTTTCACTAACGCGTCAAATAACATCATCCTTAGCTTCCAATTTTCTTTAAATAATCTTTCTCCCAACCCCCATACTTTTCCTAGTCCCATATTTATTTTACCTTCTGTTTTCTTTATATGTCTCTTATTCCCATTATTTTTGTTTATTATGTATCCCAGATAGTTATATTCTTTTACCATTTCAATTTTCTTTCCTATCCACTCAAAACTTTCTTCCTTTCCTCTTCCTCCTCCTTTCTTACATTTCATCATTTTTGACTTTTCTACGTTTAATTCCAACCCTCTTTCCTCTAAGAATATCCTTAGTTTTTTCAGCATCTCTTTCATCCCATTTTCATTTTTTGCCATCATTACTATATCATCCGCGTATCCTATCGTCCAAATTTTCTTTCTTCCTATTACCACTCCTCCTTCCTGAATTTTACTCATTTTCTCTTCTAACTCCGCAAAGGCAAGATTAAATAGCGTGGTGCTCAGCGGGCACCCTTGCCTTACTCCCTTTTCTGTGTCGAATTCCCCTATTATCTCTCCTCTAATTTTTATTCTGCATCCTGTTTCCTTGTATATTTCTTCTATGCTTCTTCTGATCCTTTTATCTATTTCTTTTTCCTTCATTATTTCCCATATCTTCTTTCTTCTTATCCTGTCAAACGCTGCTTTCATATCAGCGAAGAAGACAAACAATTTCCCACCTTTTCCCTGATTTCTTTTCCCTTTGCCGTTTTTAGCACGTATATTGCATCTGTTGTTCCTCTTTTTAGTCTGAATCCCATTTGCGTATCGCTTAGTATTCCTTTTTCTTCTATCTCTCTATCTAGTCTTTTCCTTACTATTTCTGCATATATCTTATATCCTGTGTCCATCAGCGTTATACCCCTATAATTGCTTACTTCTTCTTTTTTTCCTTTCTTGTATACTGGTATTATTATTCCCTTTCTCCATTCCTTCGGGTATCCTTCTCCGTTCCATACTCTATTTAGATATTTTGTCAGGTCATTTATTAGGCTTTCAGTCTCAGCCATCCACGCTTCATTTGCAATCCCATCTTCTCCTGTTGCTTTTTTCTTTTTCATTCTCTTTATCACCTCTACTACCTCTTTTACTTTTATTTCCCCTCTTTCTTCTTTTTCCCCTCTTTCCCATTCTTCTCTTTCTTCTTTTTTATTGTAGTCCTTTTCTTTTTCTCCCAGCTGCTTCTTGAAGTGTTTTAACCATTCCTCATTGCTTATTTTTTCGTCTATTTTTGCTCTTTTTTTCTTTCCTCCGCTCACTTTTTCCCAAAATTTCCTTCTCGTTCTATCTTTGCTTATTTCCTCCGCCACTTTCCTTCCTTCCTCTTCTTTTGCCTTTCTTATTTCCTCTCTGTATTCCCTCTTTGCTTCCAGGTATCTGCTTCTATCCCCAATTCCTCTTCTTAGTTCTTTCAGAGCATTCATTACCTTGTCTCTTTTTACCTTACATTCTTCTCTCCACCAGCTTTTTCTTGTTCCTTTTTTACTTCTTATTTTCTTTTTTGTTATAGCGTTCTGCACTCTAATTTTTATCTCTTCCCATTTTTCCGTTCCTTCTACTGCTCCTATCCATCTGTGATACTCTTTTATTCCTTCTTCGCTCCAGTCTTCTCTTAACCTTTCTTCTTCTCTGTTTTCTTCTTCTTCAACCCTGTTTTCTAGCTCCACTTCTACTGGTAGGTGATCCGATTTGATTCTCTCTCCCATTTGCATTTCCTTCACTCTCTCTTCCCCTCCTATATTTCCTATTATGTAGTCAATCGTCGACATCCCTCTCGCTCCTATATATGTAATTTCTCCCTCTTCATCTCCCTCTTTTTTCCCATTCATAATCACTAATCCCGTCTCTCCTAGCCATTTAACCATCTCTTCCCCTTCTGCGTTTATCATACCATCCTTTGTTTTTATTTCTTCTGTCTGTCCTTCGCTATCCCATTCTCTTCCTTCGCCTCCTGTTCTAGCATTAAAGTCTCCTCCTATTATTAATGTTTTCCTCTGTTTTCCTCTATTTCTTCGGTTAGGTACTCATAATTTTCTTTTTTCTTGTGCTGCATGTAGACTGATGCAACCGTGCATTTCTCTCTCTCTCTCTCTCTATCTCTATTTCCCCTACTATGACTTCTTCTGTCCTTTCTTTCTTCCATTTTACCTTTATTCTCCCTTGTCTTTCTCTAACTGCCACCAGTCCACCCCCTATCTCCCTACCCCTTTTTCCTTCCCTTCTCGAGTCCCTCCATTCAATGTTATACTCATTCAAATTTCTTCCTATTCCTATTTCTGCTTCTTCTCTTTTCACCCATGTCTCCGTAAGTCCTACTATATCAAAATTTCTAATGTATTTCCAGTCCTCTTCTTCCAAGCTCTTTATTCCCGCCACATTCCAGAATAACATTTTTACTGTTTTTCTTCCCTTCACCTCTTCTCCCTTCTCTCCTCTCCCACTTTTATTTCCGAAACCCTTCCATTCCTTTCTTTGTCATTCTTTCTTCTCTCTCATTCCACCTCCACTCTTCCTCCCCTGCTCTTAACCCGTTGTGCCATATTTTAACTTCCTTGCCCTTATTTTTCAATTCTCTTGCTTTTCTTCTTACCTCCTCTCTTATTTTCCTCTGTTTCCACGTCCAGTCGTGATCTATATATATTTTTTTCTCCCCTAGTTTACTTTTTTTCTTCATTATTCCCTCCTTTTGTTCCCATGAGACACACTTTATTTGCCACATCCTCTTCCTTCTATACTCTATCCCTTCCTGTCTCTGTTTTATTTCTGGTCCTCCTATACTCCTTAGGCTTATTATTTCCCCCTTAATTCCCATTCTGTCCTTTAACCATTCCTCTGCATCTCCTTTTTTTCCCATTTCAGTTCTCTCTCCAGATCCGTTACAATTATATTATTTACCCTACTTTCTCTATCCATCCTCTCCTTCATGTGATCCATTTCATCCCTATTATCTACTCCTTTTTCTTCTGCCCTTGTCTCTCTTCCTTCCATGCATTTTTTCATCTTATTCACCTCTTCCAATCCATTCATTCTTTCTTCCCACTTCTCTTGTCTTCTTTTTTCTTCTCTTTTCTCTTTTTTCCTTTCCTCTCTATCTTTCTCTAATTCTTCTCTAAGTTTTTCTAACCCTCTCTCCCATTTTGCCTCCCTTTTTTTCTCCGCCTCTTCCATTCGCCTCATCATTTCATTTAGCAGTTCCTCTTTTTCTCTCTTCCCCTCTCTTCTCAGTTCTCTCATTTCTGCTAGTACTCTTTCAATTGCATTATCTTCTCCTTTACTCTCACCCACCCCTATCAATGTTCTGTTCATTTCATTTCCTTCATCCCCATCTGTTTCACTCCCCTCGCTTTCACTTTTGTACCTTTTCATCTGCCTCACTTCTTCCTTGTTTCCTCCCCTCAGGCCCTCTTCGCTCTCTCTACCTCTCACCCTCTTTGCCTTCCTCTTATCCCCTTTACCATCCCTCTCTTTCGCTGTTCCTGGCGTTGTGAACATCTCGTTCCTGTTTCCTATTCCAATTCCCCACCTTGCTCCCGCCTTAACTCTCTCTCTTATTCCCTTTGTCTTCGCCTTTATACCCCTCTCCTACGCTCCTCTTTTCCCGCCTTCTGTCTTATCTAACCTAACCTATCCTTTCTCCCTTTATTTTTTTTCTCACCTTACTTCCTTCGCCCTTTGTTTCCCTCTCTTTTTCTCTTCTCCAAACCCCTTTCCACTCCTCCTGTACCTTTTCTCCACTTTTCTCTTCACTTCCCGCTCTCCTTCTCTCTAAAATTGAGTTAAACACTCATATTATATAATTTTTAAATAAATATTTTAAATACTACTTCACTTTGTTAAAATTTAAATAAATATTAAATAAATATTATCACATTATATTAGAAATATCCTTTTCTAAAATTGAAAATGTGAAAATTTTTTACTATTTCTAACATACAACTCTGGCAAATAATATTGAAAGTAGAAATTTTCATATTTCATCACAACTTCTTTCAAAAATGTCTCATTACAACAAATAAAAATACAAATACTTCCTTGTTCTACTGGTGAATAAATAAATAATTCACATGTATCCATCCCAGATTCGTACATTTATATTTAGCATTGAGTATAATAAATTGTACTTTTCTTAAGTTGCACATAATAGTTATCTTTGAACTGTAAACAACTTACATTACATTTTTTCGCAACGTGATCGACTACAGGTATATTTTTACACGAATACGGACGTTTGAATTCGACAATTTTGCAAATATTATTTGCAACAACGAAGCTATGGAGGCTTGCACAAAGCCATAACTGACTTCTACTTACAAGCACGCTAACATTCTTTACGGAACAATCAAATAAATGTTCATATGCTTTTTTAACTATATCCTTATTATGAGTTTGTAATTCTGATAGATTAACTTCGCTAATTTCTATATCTATCTCATAAATTTTCTTTCTTAAACCAAACATTTCAACAAAATATTGTCCTTTGCTGTACTTTTCTTTGGTTAACTGACAAACAGTTGGTTTTCCCCACTGTTGCCCTTTATCTGTCTTTGTAAAGCTGTGTTTATTATTAATATAATAAATCATAGCTGCAACATGTTTGCATCTCTTACTTTTGTTCTAAACACAACTGCATGTTACACTTCTAACTTTTCTGTCAACATTAATCTGTAAACATTATTACAATATATGAAATAACTATTATTTCATTATAAATATCACAGATAAATAAAAACATAATCTATACTTTACACTTAATTCTGTTTTATACGGCGGAGAATATACAGAAGATACAGAAGTCTGTCTAATCACTACAGCTTTAAACAGAAAACTAGTACGATGGTCTCTGAGTTCTTCAACATTACACACATTAGTGATGTTCGATTATATGCGATTAATCGATAAGCATTCGATTATTTAACAAAATATTCGATTTTTTTTTCGATTATTTTGAAATTCGATTATTACAGCTTCGATTATTTTTTGGCCAATAATCGAATCGATCTGCGCTTTGTGCAATTTGTATTTTGCGCATGCGTGGATATTATTCTCTCTATTTACATACGTTCGAATAGAAAAGAAATTTGTGACGGTTGAATTGGAATGTGAGGTGAGAGTGAGACGTGAGCTGAGGTAATTGCAATAGGTAGAATCATCAATCAAGAATGGATAACAATAATCATGATGTTTTCAACCCATTCGTCGAAGACAGACAAAATCAAGGTGCATAAAAAAATTTTATTTACATATTTACTACATTTAAGTTTAAAAATTTTATTGTTGTAGTTAATATATATAAATATGTGTATTCAATAAAATTGTAAAAATAACCATAAACTTGAAATTTTTGTAATTGCAGAAGAAGCTAGAAAGATGTCTGTATGGTTTCAAATAAATAATTATCTTGAAGTTAAAGTTGATGATATATCCACTGGTCACTATGCCAGGATAAAAAGTATTTTGGAATATTTCCATATTATTATTACAATTTACATTCATGATAATTAAGTATTTGTATTCTAGAGTTCAATAAAGTAGCTTTAGACTATGTTAAAGGTAATTTGCTATACTTGTTGGAAGAAGGTGAAAAATTGAAATTTGTATTTAAGTCAATTGATGGTATAGACTTGTAAGTATATTAATTGTGTTCTATATTCTTCTATCGTTCTATGAAAAATATAATTAAATTAAACAATCTCACTTCCATTTTTTTCTATCTATCTAGTGTGTCTTGGAACCAATTGATGAGTTCACTGACGATGATGAAATGGAAACAAGACTGCTACCAGATGACATTTGTTATTGTTGCAAAGCTTGCCCAACATTAGATAGTCCTAGTCAAATTCGTATGTTTACAAAGTATTGTTATCATTATCTCTAATCGATAGAAATAGGCAAAATAGTTCTACTAAATATTATTGTTACAGCTGACTCCAATAACACGGGGAATTTAATCGATCATGGATGTACTTCAACAATTACTTCAAAAAATGGATCTCAATTGAGCACCGTACAAAGTATTTCAATGAAACAAAATCAATTCGGCACACAAAATCCTTCAGATGCATGCGATCTACCATTACAGAGTAAAGAAAATACAAATTTTACTTTTAATACCTCTAGAAAGTCAAGGTAAATTGTATAAATTTAACTTAACAATTTATCATCAATATTTTCTGACAAAATAAATTATTTGTTTTAATCATAGAGTTGTCAGTTCTATCTGGTTACATTGTAAAAAAATTACTGAAAATAAAGTACAGTTTCTTTTGTGTCAACATTGTCAAGAGAAAATAAAATATCATAGAAATACTACGAATATGATAAAACATTTATCTGCAAAACATTCTTTGTTTTTTAATCAATCAGCTAACCACAAATCATATAAAAAAACAAATTTACAAGTGGCAAAGAGGCCACGCTTTGATTCTGTAAGCTAAAAAACTACCAAATTACATATACACAGTATGAAATAACTAAATTTTATTTTACAGGATGAAGTTCAATCAACAAATACTCTTACTCCTTGTATTCAATCAGCATTTCAAAAAGTGATAAATTTTCAAGGTTTCGCTATAATAATACGACAGTTTATACGATTCAAACAAAACTATTAACTCTCTATTATATTTACAGCTGGCGGTTCAAAGGATGATGAAATTACTAACACAGTCCTTTTCCTGTTGTGTAAAGATCATATGCCTCTATGTGCAGTAGAAAAAGTTGGCTTGAAAACTCTTTTGAAAAAAGCATTTCCTCTATACAAGATACCATCTAGACACACAATAACAACTAGATTAGAGCAAAAGTATCAAGTTTTGAAACCGAAATTACAAACTACAATAAATAGTCTCAAAAGCTACTGTATCACAGCTGATAATTGGTCCGACAGAGCAAATCAGACATATATAGGTGTTACGCTTCATTTCTTAGATGAGAGCACATCAACATTTGAAAAGATATGTTTGGGTTGCATTCCATTGCATAAGAGTTAATGAGGAAAATTTTCAAAGAGTTCAAAATTGATATTGATAAAATTAGCGTAATGCTTACTGATGCTGGCGCGGCAATAAAAAAAGCCGTAATCAATATTGTTGGTAAAAAGCGTCATTTAGCATGCTTAGGACATGCGATATCTCATGTTTTACCAGAATCTGTAAAAGAATCTGTAAAATTAAACGAATTGATTACCAAAATTGGAACTATTGTCACACTTATCAAAAGAAGTAATAATGCTACTGCTAAATTAAAGCAAAGTCAAGTAGACGATGATGATAATAAAAATGTCAAGACTATTGAAGATGCTCTAAAGCTAATAAATGATTGCGTTACTAGGTGGACGTCAACAATCGATATGATCGATCGATATCTAATCTTAGAACCTTACATTTTCGTAGCTATGAGTGCATGTAACCATCCTATAGATATATTAAGTAGAGACGAAGTGAAGATTCTTGCGGATGTTTTCAAAATCATGAAACCATTCAGAGATGTAATCAACGAAATAAGCGGGGATGTATACCCTACATGTAGTATTATTATTCCTCTTGTGCAAGTACTGGAAAATATTATTTCTAATTGCCATTTGGATACAGAAGTGGGAAAATCGTTCAAAGATACAGTTCAGAAACACATGAAAAAACGTTTTGAAGGTCTAGAAAAAAATTTGATATTGGCTTGCTCAACGGTTCTAGATCCGAGATTTAGAAAAAAAGAGAATTTTACTAACCCTATGGCACGTGTTGATGCTATAGTAGAAATTGACAATCAATTGAAACAGATGAAACGAGAGAGAAATAAAATAAAAGAGCAAGCAAGAAAGACACAAGAAATTCAGGCCAATTCACATCAAAGTATCAATCAGAATCTTGAATGTATTAGTATTTGGGATGCCTATGATAAATTAAATGAGCAGCAAGTAGATGAAATTCTTCAGGTAAATCAATCTGGTTGGGAATTGGAGATCCACGCCTATCTTCAGTCGTCGAACATACCAAGAAAAGATAATATTTTTGATTTTTGGAAAAATCAAAAAAGAGATCACCCAGAGCTTAGCAAAATAGCATTGCAGCGTTTATCTAATCTTGCAACAACTCTTCTATCTGAACGCTTATTTTCTCAGGCTGGACTCATCAATAGATCTCATCGTAGTAAATTATCTGGTATGCATTTAAACATGCTCGTTTTCTTAAGTTCGTTCTCCGTAGTAGAGTGGAATTTGTAATTCTATAGTTTGGTGGTTGTGTGTTTGAAAGAGGTCATTTTCATTGTATAATAGTTAAAACCTTATTTATTTTCATGGGTATAATCAAAGGTGTATGTACTATAATCTCATTCTCAAACCTTCTTATTTGACTATTTATAATTTACAGCATATTCTATCGGTTTACTGTCGTCATCATTTGAATTCATAAAATTATTTAAAATCCTATGCTTAGCACGAAATAAAAAATTGTTCATAGAATTAATGTATTTCTAATTTTTATATCATTTCAATGGTAATATGTTATTGCTTTGGCCAAAGTTCTATTAATCATGTATCTGTAGCTTTTACCATATTTCGACTATCATATATATAACTATTTATCTATTACTGTGTGGGTTTGTATGAGACTTGATTTACAAAAAATGCATGCTTAAAATGGTGATACAGTGTGTACTTCGACTTTTTCCATTTTTTCAGTTATATATGGGTGAAATTTTTTCATTTTGTTTCAAACCATCTATGAGTAAATACAATTACTAAAAATTAAAACAGAAACTAGACTATTTAATTGATCTTCTTAATCATAACAACGACAAAAAGACATCGATTTCAAATTTCGCACATTTTTTATTACGTATTTTACCATAACGCTATAATCATACCCAATACCCATAATCATTCTACAGGTGTTTATTGTAAAACTAAAGTCACAAGTGTCATCTAGGCCTGTAAGTGTAATCAATTTTAGCAATCGACAAATGTAAATTTGGAAATATATAATATATATCTTTTATTTATTTTTATAAACTAGACAATATTAATCTAAAAAGAACATCATCATGAATAATGCAGGCCACGTTTACAATGAAATTGTTAATCACAATGGTAAAGTTATTAGTTTTTAAATATCTAACCTCAAAAAATAATTTGAATACAATTCGATACATATTTTTTAGAGGCTGAAAATCCGAGAAGATTTACAATTTATTTTACTGTCAATTATAATTCAACTATTCATATTTCCAACGTACGACTGCAGCAGTATCTTCTACTAAAACATAATGACGAATATGCTGTTCAATATTGTGAAAAGTTTTTGACAAGAGAACCAATTCAAAGTTTATTTAAATCATTGGACGATGTTGAATATTTGCCTGTTAAATTGTAAATGATTGAAATAAGCAATGACCTTTTAATAAATACCATCAGAACGTAATTTGCATTGTTCAATTTATCAGTAGTTCTTATTTCCTACTTATTTTTTTATAATATTGTTGCCATATATTTATAAGCACTTTATTCTTTTTTTAAATTAAAACAACCATCGATTATTCATTCGATTAATCGATTATTTTCAAAGAAAATCGATTATCAAGAATCGATTATTTTGGTAATTCGATTATTAGGAATCGAATACCTTTTCGAATAATCGAACATCACTAACACACATGATCAGCATTAACTAATTTTTTCCCTTAGACTCAGTTTCAGGTTGGAAATGTACATCGCGATAAATTTTTTCAAATCTAATTTTAATTATAATTGACATACTGTACAACAATCTGCATAATAAACAACGATTTTTATATTAACGAATAATATTAATATGCAAGTGTCTCATTCTCTATTTGTTATTGAACTGACATAACCTAAAAATGATAACGACACAACGTAAATTGTAGGCTAATTACGTATTCAAATAAAATAAAAAATACAATAACTGCAAGCTATATATTCTTCACTCGATACGTACAACTGATTACAAGTATATATTGATATATTGTCATTGTTAAATAAATATTAATCAAGATGTTCAGTGCTTTTAATGCAGCTTCTTTCCCAGTCTCTCAACTATCAAGTGATCTCTATTTTTTTTAAAAGTTAATTATTCTCTAGTTATAAGTTTAATTACATATATAAAATCTTATTCATTGCAAATATAACTTTATCTAATGTAAAATACTTTTTAGTTTTACAAAAACATTAAAAAACTATTCAATCATACACTTGTAGTTTTTCAAATCTCCATATAAAAAAATATAACAAGATTTATTACATAAAAATTTATGAAATAGTATCATGTATTTGTATATTTCATAAAAATTTCTGTGTACAATTTAAAACAAACAAATGGTTTAAAATAATCTAAAATATTTTTTATATTCTAATTGTTATTAAATTTTATTTCATACACTTTTTGATTTACATTTCAAGCGATGATCGAGTTTCATTTAAATATAAAATAAACGTACTTGGCTAGTAGTTATAAGAACATCATCATCAAAAAATTTAGTTTCTATAACCATATTGCCACTAGAAATAAAATAAATCAGTTACTATTTATTAAATGATTATTTATAAAACATACATACTTTAACACATTAGCAGGCATCATTTGACTTTCAGGAGCAGCTTGAAATAAACTTTGCCATGTATTTGTACTATTTGGAATTACAAAACCAAGTTCAAAAAACCATTCTTCTAAACAACGACCTTTAAAAAGTACTTTTTGTTCTAATCTAAATCTTTCCATAGGTTCTGCTGTACTAAAATTTATTTCTCTTGAAACAGCTCTACAACGCAGTATTTTTTTTGGAACATGAGCTTCATGTTCTATATTAGGAACTGATCTATATCATATAAATAATATACCTAGTTGTAATACTACAGTACTATATCTGTTATTTTATATAAAAACATTTATAACTTATTGCAATAACTACTGGGTACTTACAAATCTTCATTACCTTGCCATATTATTTTTCCATTATCTGCATCACGCAAATTTATCCAATTACTTAAGAAAATTATTGAGGAAAACTTTTGCAAAATATTTACAAAATTGAACAATGTTTTTAAGATAAAATCCATATATAATCCATATATAAATAATAAAATTGCTATTTAATAAAGTTAATAATTAATTTTATAGGATACATTTGAAAACCTTTGAAAATATCATCGGCCCGAGTTGGCATATTATAAAAATTTGAAATTTTCAATTAAGATGTAAGACTCTTTGTTTATTAAACAAAAGTAAAAAAACCAATTATTATAGTATAACCAACGAATATTGAACGTTTATAGAAGGCCAAGTCTTATGGGGTACTATTTAAGCCGTACCTTTGTGATCTGAGCACACATATAAAAAAAAATTAATTGGCAATATACCTCCCTTACTCCAGCCTGCAAAGTGTAATGGACAGTAAAAATAAAAATACCATTCGAAACATCTCTAATTGAACCCTCCAAAAATGCTCATTGTTTTAATTGAACCCCTTCAGTTGTCCCAAAAAAAATTAAAAACTATGATGATTTTTTCGTTTTTTGTAACTGCGATATCTTTAGTAATACTTAATATTTTTGTAAAAGAAACAAGGCAAAAAATTGAACCTTTGCTCGTTTTAATTGCACCCCGCTCACTTTTTCAAAATTATTAATATATATGTCAAAAACAACAATCTAACTTTATTGTATGTTCTTTTCAAATAGATTATTGGGTTATTGGGTTATTTGGAAAGAACATACAATAAAGTTAGATTGTTGTTTTTGACATATATATTAATAATTTTGAAAAAGTGAGAGGGGTGCAATTAAAACGAGCAAAGGTTCAATTTTTTGCCTTGTTTCTTTTGCAAAAATATTAAGTATTACTATAGATATCGCAGTTGCAAAAAAACGAAAAAATCATCATAGTTTTTAATTTTTTTTGGGACAACTGAAGGGGTTCAATTAAAATATTGAGCATTTTTGGAGGGTTCAATTAGAGATGTTTCGAATGGTATTTTTTTTTTTTCACTGTCCATTACACTTTGCAGGCTAGGGTAAGGGGGGTTGGCAATATACAAAAAAATTCCGCGTGATGCGCTGGTTGCGAGAGATCTTAAAGTCCCAACAATTGAAATATTGAACAAATCTATAAACTAATTACTCCATTCGATTGGGCAGCTTTTCATTAATCACATATCGTTTGTACGTCGATTATGCTAATTTTTTTTATATGAAAAACAGATATTATTAATTATGGGTGCTAGCGCTAGCACCTAAATTTGATTCTCCAGATATAGTGGTTTATTTCGTGAAAATAATTTTTTACAATATACCAATCGTTAGTGCGTCTCATGCATTATTGGCACTCAATATAAAATTATTAAAAAGTTTATCATTTAATTAATTAAAATAAAATAATACTCTTTCGTATTTAAAAAGGTTATTATGACATTGTTTTGCGTAAGCGCCTCGAATTGAACATTGTTGCTCAGTGTAAGATTTGACTCGAAGGCAGGCCTACTTCCTGTGTGTGTGTGTGTGTGTGTGTGTGTGTGTGTGTGTGTGTGTGTGTGTGTGTGTGTGTGTGTGTGTGTGTGTGTGTGTGTGTGTGTGTGTGTGTGTGTGTGTGTGTGTGTGTGTGTGTGTGTGTTCCAGGAAATGAATGGAAAATCGTGTAAGAGTAACTATATTTATTGTCAGTGATACAGGTCTTCACACGAAGATGATTCGTGAAGGAATAAAGAAACGTTCTCTCGCTCTATGCTACAACGTTCGCTACCCTTTCTCCTCTAAAAAGAGAGATGAAATATTGCATATCCTATACATTCCCCCCCCCCCCCCCCGAGAGACGTTATCGTAAAATGAATGATAACACTGAATACAAATTGAATTTGTTTTTTTACAATGGAGAAGTGAAACTTAAATCTGGAGTTATGCTTAAAATTAAAGTAGAACAATCAAGCTCAATGGTTAAGACTTTTTTATATTTGTGAGTCAGCAGCGAATAAGTTTCTGACTCAGATTGACTAGTTGAAGGCTGATTGCCTTGATTATCGCTATTTACAACCAGATTATCGAGATCATCTGGTAAAAAGAAAGCTGATTTTAATAATTCTACAGAAACGCTACGTTTATTACCGTTTACATCGATATTAAAAACACTTTTATCCAATATCAAAAATACTTTATATGGACCATTGTACGGTCTTTCGAGCGATTTTTTAGTCGTATTTTTTAAAAATACATGAGTACAAAAGTACAAATCTTTAAATACAAAGCGCGTTTTTTATGCTTGTGCGTTACAGGAACTGGACGAATTAAACGCATGTACTCGCAAAATTCTTCGATGAAAATGTTCGGATCAGGAGTAAAATCTTCTAGGAGGAAAAACTCGCCAGGCAAACGAAGCGTTGTACCAAACTTAAATTCTGCAGGGGAAGCATTCGTATCAGCGCGAACATGACAGCGAAGACCGAGTAAAATCGTAGATAACGTGCGCGTCCAATCAGTGTCCTGATGACACATAATAGCGGCTTTAAAAACACGGTACGATCTCTCAATTAGACCATTTGCCGCTGGATGGTAAGCGGTCGTGCGAATTCGTTGACAACCAATTAAAGATAGTAAAGCCGTAAATAAACGCGATTCAAATTGTGAACCTTGTTCAGAAGTTAAAATTTTAGGTGCACTATATTGAGATACCCACAATTTGAAAAATGCTCTACAAATAGTGTTAGTTGACGTTTCCTTCAAGGGAATTGCCTCCACCTACCTTGAGAAACGATCGATCATCGTGAGGACATATTCGAAGCCATTGTGATTAGGGAGTTGCCCTACAATGTCAATATGTACATGGTCAAAGCGACCATCAGGTGCAACAAAGTGTTCTGGTATGAGTTTGACATGTTGCGAAACTTTGGATTGTTGACTCAACTAGATATGCAAAATATTTGATCGTTTCGTAAATAGCAGTAAGCTCACGATCGTAAGCGCTATATTTGCACTGAGCAGGGGAAAATTTCTGTGCAAAGAAACTTAAAGGTTCACAAACATTTTCAGTCAATAACTGTTCTAGAGCTGCACCCATAGCAAAATCGGATGTATCAGAAAGGATGCGAAGTTCAGCGTTAAAGGGTGGATGAACCAACAGAGTCGCATTAATAAAATCATTGTTAACTTTTTCAAATGCTTCTACAGTTTCAGGAATCCAAGCAATCTCACGCTTGTCGTTTTTGCGGGAATCGATAAAATATGAATTAAGAGGTACCTGAGTTGCAGCAGCGTGAAGTAAATTGCGGTGGTAAAAATTCACCATGCCGAGAAAACTGCGTAGTTCTAAAATAGTTTTAGGCTTTTGAAAACGACTAATAGCTTCGACTTTTTAAAGGGTTGCGCGAATGCCCTTTGAATTGATGATACAGTCAAGAAATTTTAGTTCTTCGACTGTAAAAACGCTTTTTTCGACGTTGAGTTGAAGGTGAAATTTTTTAAGTCTCTCAAAAACAATGCGAAGATGTTTATAATGTTCTTCATGAGAGGAAGAGGTTATAAGTATATCATCAATATAGATGTATACAAAGTCAAGGTCACCGAGAACGGAATTGATGAACCGTTGGAACGATTGACTGGCATTCCTAAGACCAAAGGGCATGTACATGAATTCAAACAAGCCAAATGGCGTGATCATGGCCGTCTTAGAAATGTCTTCAGACGCAACTGGAATCTGATTAAAAGCTTTACGGAGATCTAGTGCGGAAAAGAATTTTGTACCATACAAGTTGCTAGAACTGTCATGTAAATGCGCAGTGGGATATTTGTCTGGAATGGTTACTGCATTTAAACGTCGGTAATCATCACAAACACACTAAGTTGCATCTTTTTTTAATCTCATGTGTATGGGACTAGCCCAGGGACTACTAGATGGGCGATAAATGCCGGCATCCATCCAAACTTAAAATTCAGCTTTAGCAGTAGCAAGTTTGTCTGGAGCAAAACGACGAGGTCACTCATCAACTGGAGGGCCAGTTATTATAATGTGATGAAAAACATCATGGGTTTCTGGAGGAATGGGCTTAGAAGAACCACAGATTTCCGGAAATTCCGCAAGCAATAAGGCATTTTCAGTATGAGGTTCAACCACATACACTGAATGAACAGCTGCTTCTTTTAAAACGCTTAAAGTATAGATATTCGAAAGAGGATCTATTAAACGACGTTTATTCAGATCGACCAACAATCTGTAATGCGCTAAAAGATCTACGCCAATAATTGCAACAGGCACATCGGCAATGCAAAAATTCCATCTAATAGGACGTTGCAAACCTAGGTTAAGAGTATGTAATGACTCGCCGAATGTGTTTATGCGGGAATTGTTAGCGGCATATAATTTAAATAAAGACGGTTTTTCACGTATCTTAGGATCAGCAGGAAGCATGGAAATATCTGCACCTGTGTCGATCAAAAATATTTGACCGGCGATACGGTCACGAACATGGAGACGATTAGATGAACTAATACCTTCAAAAACAGTTTCCATGACTGAAGGTAGATTTATTTTTGCGACTGCCATTCTGCATATTTCGAGCACCAGGATTTGCACGAAGTTGGATTATTTAGATATTTCCTATGGGCAATACAAAGACCTGAAGAATGAGGACCTCTAGATTTACTACGGCTCCTGTGCTGATTAGTTTAGAAAAACAATTTACGCAAGAAGGCTCATTCGAAGGGTTAGGCATGGAAGGAACCTGCGAATTTTTATTGAAAGTTTTAAGAAGAGCATTAAATTTATGCTCGAGACGACTAATTGCGGTACCTGTATCCGAAACGGTATGAGCTTTAATGGCAGACGTGTTGATATGCGTATCTGAATAGCTAGCCGACTCAGCTAAGCGATCTGCTGCTTCAGCTAACTAATTTAGATCGGTGTCACCCGAGACAATTAAGATATTGCGATGAAGAACAGGTAATTGATCGAGATAAATTGATTTGATGATGTAGTCATCACACATCCCATTATTAAGGTACCTAAGTCTGCATAAAATTCTAGAAGGTTTTCCATCGGTTAAAACCTGGCCTTTTAATAACTTGCGCAAATTACATTCTGCGGAAGATGAAAAAGTGGATATAATCCTATCTTTAGCTCGCTGATAAGCGTTAAGGGGCTGGGGCTCAGTAAAAAGTATGTCTCTAATACAAGCCATGGCCTCACCATCCAGCGACAAACATAAATAATCAAGTTTAGTAGTGTCAACCGTGACACTAGCATGACGAAACGCGGCTTCAACTTAACGGAACCATAAAAGCGGATCCGCATGTAACATCAGGGGAATTTTGGGGACCCGGGCCCCTTCTATACGAACTTCGTGACCTAAATTATTATTATTAGCTATTTGATCGCGAGCTTCAGTAAGCTGTTGAAAGCGCGTTTACATTATTTGCATTTGAGTTCTTCGATTTGATGTATTTTTTCGCGAAGCGCAGCCTCAGTTGCAGCAAGGGCTTCTGCCATGTTGACTATGTTATGTCTAGGCGAGGAAATGTTACTGCTAGACGTAATAATGTATACAAATACTGCCGCGTTGGTAAAAGTTGGAACTTAGTCAGGAGTTAAGCAGAGGTTGGTTAAAGGGATAGCGCCTTTATTATATGTAGCGCGTTTAAGTAGATAACTTAGTTTCTTACCTTATTAGGATTAGAATTCAGAAGAGGTTTTTACGAACAGTCTCGGGTGTTTGCGCTTGATTTACGATTTATTGTTTAAAGACAATTTTTATAATGCTTAGCAGAGTATAATTCCGGTTCTGAGTAGCCGGATAGTTAGACTTAAAAAAATAACTCAATTAGTACTGCGCGAAACGTATGCTGTACGAACTGAATTGCTCTGAACTGCCAAACTGCTGAACTGTACTATCTTTTGCGGATCCCGATCCATTTATACCGTAGGCTGATGTACCCCTTCCTGTGTTTTCGCCGAATTAATAAGCGGTGAGTAATATTCGCGGAAATATTATGGAGACGTGCTTAGACTAATCTATCCCGCTAGATAGATTTACAAATGTTCCCGGGAAGGTTGATATAATAGGAAATTAAATTACCGATACTCGGTTTGTTACCATAACCCGTTATTTACTTATCATAATTCGTCACGTACTTATTCTTTGTATCGACGTGACAACTAGCTAGAATAAATATCTAACAACCTTACGCCACAGACGTATTACAATGTACACTATTCCACGCACGCAGACGTGTTACAAACACATACGCAAACTTAACCTGAAGTATATACAGTATAACCTATATTACGCACGCAGGAGTATTACAAACACTTACGCAATTTAATTTTGACTAAGTGGGCAAAACATAATTAAACTTAATTAAACCCAAAAATAATTAAAAATTATATTATATTTTAATATTTAAATATTAGCATATATTTTCTATGTACGCACTAGCATTAGATATATAAAATTATGTTTCGAACAACGCAAGTTTATGTACATGTCTAAACATTAAAATGTAATCAAGTATATAAAAGTATAAACTTCAACTGAGTTAATATTGAAAACAAAAACAATTTTAGTATATCGCACATATATAACTCTGTGAGGTTGTATGAATATGTACATAAACCTGTATTGCTATATAACAAAAACATAAAACGTAAGTTTATATTTATATGTATATATACTGAATGTATTTAAGCTAGGCATGTGTGTATTAGATATTTCCGAGAAACAAAGCACTGAAAATTAACTCGTGTTTACAAAGTCGAATTCTTGTAAGAAGTCACCTGTATCCGTGGTTAAAAAAAAATTGTAAACACAAAACATTTTACGAAATAAAGGTGTGATGCGGAATAACACACGTGAAAGATTATCTAAATGCGCAAATTCACGTAGATAGTAATTAAATGCTTAGAATAAAATTAAACAAACGTAAATGTGAAAATTTTCAGACAGGGTTCACAAAAGTGAGCGTGAAAAATTCTACTTTTCAAATGTACGCCAATGAGCACAATTCTAAGAAGCGCTGTTGTGTTAAATATGTCGCCAATATTTCGAATGTTGCGCGACAATATGCATTAAAAATGCTTTTTGTTTTTTCAAATGGCGACGACTTTTCGAACACTTTTCGCGATAAAACACTTAAAATTAAAGAAAACGCAATTTTACCTTAAAATTAAAACGCAAGTATCGATGTAAGACGGGCGGCTAACAAAACACAAGCACGTGTGCGTCCAATAAGTGGCAAAATTACGAGGACGAAACTTCAGTGAAAATGCAGAAAAGTTTTTTCCACACGTATCGAAAAATCCACTCAAAAATCCTCGGAGACAGGATCACCAATGTAAGAATTGACTCGAAGGCCGGCCTACTTCCTGTATCTATATATTTATGTGTTTCAGGAAATGAATGGACGATCGTGTAAGAGTAACTATATTTATTGTCAGTGATACAGATCTTCACACTAAGACGATCCGTGAAGGAATAAAGAAACGTTCTCTCACTTTACGCTACAGCGTTCGCTACCCCTTCTCCTCTAAAGAAAGAGATGAAACATCGCATACCCTACATTAGTCGAAGACTCAATGCCATTATATTTAAGTGTCAGAATCGTTCAGTGAACACCCTAACGATGCCGAATTTTGATAAACAGGTCTTAAAAGTTAGCACCCACAAATTTGAAATATTGAACAAATCTATAAACTATTTACACCATTCGATTGCGCAGCTTTTAATTAATTACATATCGCTTTTGCGTTGATTGTGATCGTTTTCTTTATGCGAAAAACAGATAAAATTAATTATGGGTGCTAGTGCTAGCACTCAAATTTGATTCTCCAATTGTAGTGGTTTATATCGTGAAAATAATTTTTTACAATATACCAATCGTTAGTGCGTCTCATGCGTTATTGGCACCCAATATAAAATTATTAAAAAGTTTATCATTTAATTAATTAAAATAAAATAATACTATTTCGTATTTAAAAAGGTTATTATGACATTGTTTTGCGCATGCGTCTCGAATTGAATATTGTTGCTCGGTCGGAGACTCAATGCCATGTAGTAAACCGAAATAATCTAAATTCAACTGGAGCATTGTTGTTGAGTTCACGAGTTCAGTCGGAGTGCTCCTTTTGTCCAGTGTCCACCAACTTCGGCGATGGACACTGAGACGTTTTTCAATTGAGTGAATAAAAAATATATTATTCAATTGGAACTCAATTTGAACATTTAATTACTAGTCTGATAGTAACTCTTTCATTTTCAAGTAAATAAATATTTCTATACGCTGTGCGATTGGTTTTGTTTTCAAGTGTGGCTGATTTAAATCAAGTTCATAGTTTTAAAGTATATAAATATATATTAGCATACTTTAAACAATGAATTTGATTTATTACAAATATATATTTGCATACTTTAAATTACGAGGCGCATGCGCAAAACAATGTCATAATAACCTTTTTAAATACGAAATAGTGTTATTTTATTTTAATTAATTAAATGATAAACTTTTTAATAATTTTATATTGGGTGCCAATAACGCATGAGACGCACTAACGATTGGTATATTGTAAAAAATTATTTTCACGATATAAACCACTATAATTGGAGAATCAAATTTGGGTGCTAGCGGCAGCACCCATAATTAATTATATCTGTTTTTCGCATAAAGAAAACGAGCACAATCAACGCAAAAGCGATATGTGATTAATTAAAAGCTGCCCAATCGAATGGTGTAAATAGTTTATAGATTTGTTCAATATTTCAAATTTGTGGGTGCTAACTTTTAAGACCTGTTTATCAAAATTCGGCATCGTTAGGGTGTTCACTGAACGATGCTGACACTTAAATATGACATGAATTCTGACACCATGACACGTTGAAATAGGATATGTAATGAGCCACTGCGCAGCAAGCCATGCGCAGGTGATTTCTAGGGATTTTAGAGGGGAGCGTATTTTGAATACAAAATGATAAAAATGAAAACAAACAAAAACATTACAATTTTTAATGTTTTGTTTGTTTTCATTTTTATCATTTTGTATTCAAAATACGCTCCCCTCTAAAATCCCTAGAAATCACCTGCGCATGGCTTGCTGCGCAGTGGCTCATGACATTCAACGTGTCATGGTGTCAGAATTCATGTCATATTTAAGTGTCAGAATCATTCTGTGAACACTCTTAACCCCCTTACCCCAGCCAACAGTGTAATGGACAGTGAAAAAAAAATACCATTCGAAATATCTCTAATTGAATCCTCCAAAAATGCCTATTATTTTAATTGAACCTCTTCAGTTGTCCCAAAAAGAATTAAAAACTATGATTGGCCCAATATATAAATCGCGCACGCGCGTTAACCCATCTATTTGGAAAGAACATACAATAAAATTAGATTGTTGTTTTTGACATATATATTAATAATTTTGAAAAAGTAAGAGGGGTGCAATTAAAACCAGCAAGGGTTCAACTTTTTTTGCCTTGTTTCTTTGCAAAAATATTAAGTATTACTAAAGATATCGCAGTTTCAAATGACGAAAAAATTATCATAGTTCTTAATTTT